CTATTACTACAGTCATGGTTATAACCACTAGCTAGAAGCCAATACGTGCAACTTCTACGCCACTAACACTTCTCATGACACGGACTACTTCCTTTAACCCCAAATAAATTAGTGAAAATAAATGTGTTCTATTGCCCACTTAGAAATAAGTTTCTAAAATACTCTCTGATGTAGATTTTTTTTTTAAGTGACAAATTTAAAGAGCTGGGAAACTATTAGTAGGATAGAAAAAAAAATAATGCAAATATCAAATCCACAGATCCATCTCTTGAAGACTGAACAAACTCACGCTAAGGGTTCTGAGACATGACAGTTTTTAAAGCTCTAACAAGTTCAGGATTTTCTCCATAATCCATTCACACTTCACGATCAACACTTCTGTTTATGAAACCAGAACCACTAAAAAAAAAAAAAAAAAAGTCAAGCACTAAAAAAGACAGGGGGAGGAAAAAAGGCTAAAGTTGTAGCAGCCCTCTGGTATGATTTTAACCTTCATACAGCCTCTTCCTAAGCCTGCTCTTCTATTCACATTTATGTACAAACTACAGAGCCAGTCTAGACTAGGGGAATGAGCTGCTGCTACAGTTAGCCAGGAGATGGCCATCAGCTTGTTGACACATCCCGGGAGCGGGGGGCTGTTCGTGTAAGCAGGACAGCACTCTGAGGGCAGCCGCGTGCATCTGCATGACACTCAGGAACAATCTGGAGGCTCTTGGCCCTGCTCCTCTCCGTGCAGGAAGGTGACTGCAGCGGTAGGTACATGTGTTTGGAACACCCGCGCTTCCCGGCCTAGGAAGCGCAGTGACTCCCAGGCTGAGCACCAGGAGAGGGCGCTGACCGCAGACGGTGAAGAAACAGCAGGAGCTCGGCGTTCCCTGAGGAGAAGCTGTTCCTGCCAAGCTCTTCACATCCCTCCCTCTGCTCAGGGTCCTGGGTCAACTCTTCCCTTCGACACACACAACACAATTTCTCCTTAGGAGCACTGTCCACCTCCTCTCCAGAGGAGTTCTTGTGAACAAATATTTAAATGTATTTTGCCTCCTCTGCAAAAGAAAGAAGGTAGAAAGAAAGAAAGTAGAAGGTAGGGGCAGATCCTTTCCGAACCCACTTCCCTGTGCACTTACTGTCTCCCAGGAGTCTCCCCTTCCATGTGACTCAACTATAGTGCTCCTTAGCAGATGGCCTTAACACTTCTCCTCTTTTCTTCCCCAACATCCTTCTGCATTGCCTTTCAGGCCACGGCAGCTGTTTTCATACTAGACACAGGGATTTTATGAAGGAAAGATACAGGACAGGTCTGAAAATGCATGGTTAAGAACTGGAGCACTGCACACCTCTAGTGTCCAACCTTCCACTTCACTGTCTCACTTGTATCAGAGGTTGGACTATGCTTCCCTTCCGCTCAGAAAGTACAACACCGCACAACCATTTAAACGTTTTAATTTTTTTAAACAAACTAATGAAAACACCATTTTTAAACACTCTTCAATCTCTCATCAAAACAAGTCTCTTAGCTGGATGACAGAGAAACATACACACAGTTATCACAACAGTTTTACACCATTTGTAAAAATAGTTGTACAACCACTTTCCAGACATCAAGTTAAGTTTGTTACATTAACAAGATGACAGACTACTATTGATTCTGATGTTGTGCAGATACCAAATTTCATTCACATCCTAAAGACAAAAGTCTCAAGTTACTCAGCTGTGGATTACATTCTTGGTCTTCATTCACTCTTTTCTTAGTGAAGACATTGAAAACAGAGTATTTTCAGTTTCTTAGAGGAATTCTAAAGCTAACAGAACCCCAAAGCAAACAAAGCGGTAGGGGAGCGGAGAAGACTGCAATAGTCTTTAATACGCATGTCCGTGCCCTACTGAATACAAAATATTCAGGCTCTATTTTTCTATTTTTACCCCAATAGGAGGTTGGGAGATCATTATTAAGACATGAAAATAAATTTAACATTATTCATCCTAAGGACTAACCAAATCACACAGCTCCAAGCACCAAACATGCTTTTATCATTTTAATGAGAAGCCATGTGAATCTTTGTAATCAATGAATACAGCAGAAAATACTTTATTTTTTTCAGACATCAAAGCAGTGAGTAGTGCTATAAAACTCACTGAATACGTACAGTTCACCACACCAACTGTGGAAGTACTAACAAAGTCATTTAAGCAGCTCTGAGTAGCATTCTGATTCTGTCCAGCTACTGTATACACTAATCAACTTCAAGTCAGAGATTCTTTGAAAGGCAACAATGGGAACATAAAGATGACAAGAAAGTTTTTCTTTTTCTTTTTTTTTTTTAAATTCACAGAGATTCCCTATTATGGAGAAATGAGAAACTATGGAGAATTAATATGTTGAAGTAGAGGTCACAGGAAGAAGATTCAGTCCTTCATATAAACTTATCAAAGAAATGCACTCGGATTTGCACGGGGATCCTTTTGGTTCCTGTATCTGTAGGTCAGCCAGACTCCTAAAATCTGAAAATAAAGGGCAAAAATATCATTAAGCAGGATGTCACCATTGCAGCTTCCAAGAATTTTACAAAATTTGTTCTTAATCATAAAACCCTGACAATGAATTTCTAGTTCACAAGGTTAAGATATTTGACTACTGTTAAAACCAAACCTCTCACATTTCTTTACCATTAGAAAAAAGAAGGCACTTTTTTAGAAAGAATTTGCATCTAGCATTTACAGGGAAAAAAAAATACTAACACCATGCACACAATATCAAATATTTATCATGGAATGCGTACTTCAGAATTCTTTGACTTTTTCCCCTCAAAAGGGCAGAGATTCATAAATCTGTTTTTACTGCAAGAGTAAATAATATCCCTCAAACTGTTTCCCTTTACATCTATCATTTTAAGATAAGGCTATTTTCCAGTAGATTTTCAAATTTTCTCTCCCCTCACAACTACTATGTATTTTTACAGACAAACCAGCATGGAAGCCAGAGTGATTCTGCTTAAGTTGCCGTATAGCTCTTGCTGCTTTAATACCCATAAGCCTTCTGCAAACTGCATTAAGTAGCATGAAGAACATTTTCACATGCTCTATTGTGGAGCTATGAAAGACCTGCCATGAGGATTTACATGAGGAATGAGGATTTTCATTCAGCAATGGATAAAACAAGTTTTAGGTACCATCTAAAGACTCGAAAATGTCTTTTACATGTAATGCTTAAAATATAGTTGATAGCACAGCTCCTTCAATGATTCACTCACCACAAAGCTGTATTTTTGCCCTGTGAGACACCTACAGATAATAAAAATAATAAAGGAAAAAAAAAGGGCAGAAATGTGTGAAGGGATAGAGAGAAGGCAGAGGAACAAGCAGCAGCACTCCTTTATTATTTTACTGGAAAGGTAAAGTCAAATGGCTAACTTTATAGAAACTTGAGCATGTTTACAGCATCACATTTTAAATATGATATTTGGTTGCAGTTTGTAATCTAAATAAAAAGAGTAGGTTGTGAAAACCTCCACAGTTGAAGACGACTCCTACTTTTGGCAAACCAATAGGCTGAGAAAACTTGAGAAGTCCTCCATTTTCTAACCTACTCGCTCACCTCTGTGAAGCTGAAGAAGAGTCCTATGCCTCCAACAAATCTCAGCACCATTCCAGAATATTCTTCTATTACCAATAAACACGGTTGACACTGGTGACTTCTAAAGCAATCCTTTAAAAACAAGTGTTACAACTGGTTAATCGCACTCCACCTCCCGACACACTTCACCCACTGAACAACCACTTAGCTCCATAACAGATTGTCAAGCATGGACAAAACTCTGAATTTTAAAAGTCTGTGGAAAATATACAACAGCCACCCAACTTTTGCAGGATGCTCCATCATTAGGTCTCCAGGAAGTTAACAAGGTAGCTTAGCATCACTGTAAAGACTAACTTGTACACTTGTTAAAACTCTCAGGCTTTTATAAAAATATGAAAAAGTCATACATTTTGAATACAATGAGGGAAAGTTACAAGTATTTTCACCCTTTAAGCAACTTACAGACAAGCAGGTTTCATTGGGATCAAAGGTTCTGAATCCACAACAATTCAGGTTTCTCTCAATATCTGCTCTTGCACTGTTTGTGTTATTCCATCCAACCTCTAGAAGCTGACTCTGGGAGGCATAAGTACATAAGTATTAAATTAATAAGAACTATTATTATTACACTTAACTGGAAACCGATATACAGGTAAACAGATCAAGTACATACAGGTCAAGTTAATGATCCCCTTCTCCCTACCTTGACAGAAAGAACCAAAACCAAGTGTTCCCAAAGAGTAGCCCCAAAAGGGACTTCATTTGAGAAGACATCACACCATCTACTGTCATGCTGATCCTACCCTTGTTCCACCAACCTAGGACTATTTTGCAACTAAAACCATGGGATCCCCGTGTCTACCAGGATAATATACTACAGTACGACCTTAACACTCACACAATTTCAGTAGCTGTGAAATAGCAGCATCCCGTACAGTTTATGGTCATAATTACTTTTCTTCTTTCTCTTCCCTAACCCCAGCAATAGCAATAATAATTGAATATGTGACCAATCTAACAGGGACCACTCAGAGTTTTAAGGAAACACGGGCTTCTACATGGCAAGCTGATCATTTAGTCACCCTCTCTTTGCCTACTCTTAGTGCAGCAAAAATTATTCACCATATCCCATGGTTTTACATTTCACACTTGCAGGTCACCTCTGTACCTAACGCAGTCATCACCTTCTCAGTTACACAAGAACAATTCAGTGGCTTTATCATCTTTGCATTACGATTACTGCAGCTAGAGCAACCACACCAGAGCTTATCGGGAATTTCAGAACACATCATAAAGTCAAAGTACCACGCTACTAAACTTGTCACCATAAACCTAGATGGGAAGCTTAAAAGCAAAAGTAAAAATAAAAAAAATACACACATCATGGGCATTTTTTAACCCAGAATTATTTTTTCCCTAGCTATCAAAGCCCAGCATTGCCTGGAGCCTAGCACTTATTTAAAAGGAATATGCTGATTGCTTCCATTTAAAGATTTCTGCTCTTTACAGAAACAAGATTCATAAAGCACATTTTGTGGAAAACAGAAGACATAACCTAGACTATGCAGTTTCTGTATAACTGAAAAGTCAGGAAACATTTCTTACCTGCTGTTCCTTGTTTAGTGCCAAGCAGGCACAGGAGACAGAAAACTGTACAATAAAGATGAGCAAAAGAATAATCATGTACTGGAAGTGGTAGTTAAGGATATACTCTCGAATTACTTTTCCTCATGTGACATTTATACCTGCTAGCATTCCTTACTTAGTTGGATAACAGCGGGTGGATATGGAAAAGAAAAGAGTCTCCCCAGCAATCAACCTCCACTTACAATCTTTCTCACTAATCACATACATACCTTGTATTTCTGTTATGTGTTCTTTGCCTGGCAAAGAGACATGAGCAGGGACATAATAAGAGAAGAACAAGTCAATAGGAAATCACCCTTCCCTACTTTTCTTACACCCAGAACTACCTACTTGTCATATATTCTTCAGTTTTAATTCATACCGATAAGTCTCTAAAGAACTTGAATATGAAACAGGAATTGTATTTAAGAGGACATCAGGAAGCAGGAACAATTCAGAGTTTGAGATTTCCTGCAACTGCACTCCTCTTGCTTTCCTTGATTTTTATTCAAGATGTGGACAAGAATATGACTTAAAGCTAACTATATTAGAACTATATTCGTTTGAAATCATGTCCCATGTGTGTTCTGTTCAGGCAGACGTTCTTCTTCCCCTTTGGAAACACACAAGGTGGTCTGAAATCTCAGTGATTGCAGAGCTGAAATCATGCATACAGAATAACAAAGCTACCCTGGGCAGCACCTTTCTGGTATGGACCTTTGACTGGGGTTGCTTCATGCCTGTCTATGCTTGAGACCAGAGCTGAACTCCAATGAAAGATAAAAAAGCTGAACACAGTCCACAGAAGCTGCTTTTCCAAGAGGCTTCAGAGTCCTGAGGAAGGATCTGGAGAAGGATTGTACATCCCGCTGCACCACAGCCCCACTGGTTTGTTGCAGTTTTGTAGGTAAGTCTAAGACCAAGGAGGGCCAGCAACTTGCTCTCAGTTTCCCATAGAATAGAGAACATGAACAGTCCATTTCATATACTAACATCATTAGCTATAAACATATCAATTGGTGTAGTCTGCTCAGTGGAGAAACTGCCCCCCTATATACCTTGCATTTGATACCTGCCATGCATTCTTTAGACAGGAAAATCAGGGGAAGCATATGACAATATTTGCAGAAGATGCCTCTCTGGTGTCCCTCAAAGAGGATCTTGTTTTGGAGAAAGCTACAGCTAAACCCCTTAACTTTGGGGGTTCATGTTATCACTTTAAGGTACTTTATCCAAGGGAGGTAATAAGAAAACACTGTTCTGGGTACTCCATGATTATTTTCTTTTTCCTCTTCAATAGGGGGCCTTGTATAAGAAAAGGAACTTGAACTAATTTAGAAAAAATAAGGGAGTTGCCTCTGGCACACACAGCCTCATAGACTTTTGCAGTGATAAAAACAGCACAAGAGAGACAACATATCACAATATAGATATCAAATACTAAGTTTTATTAAGTCAGACAGTGGATTTGTACCTTGGCTACTCTTTCCTGAGGGAGCAGTTATTTTTAAAGTCTCTTTGACAAATGACTTTTTAGTAGGCTGAAATGAGAGAAGCAAGAATTTCTTCCATTGAATCTATTCTGTCATCTAAACAGAGCAATTCTGCTATGCAAGGCAGCACCACAGACTGCTTACGCAGGGTCAGGGAACATAAAGGGGCAGCAAAGCACTCTGAGAAGGCCTGTGCTCATTTCTAATCTGAGATCACAAAGGAGGGCTAGGTATAAAAAGAAAATGCTTATTGACAACATGTGCTGCTAGTGATGCATTTCTCTGCCAGTTATCACCAGTTCACTGGTCTGCAAGTATCATCTTCCCACACAGTTAAACATTAACAGCTTGTAAAATGGTATAGGCTCAAGCATGCAGTAAGAAGCACCTGTGACTTATGAACCACCATAACCAGTTTTCAGCAAAATTAACATATTTCTTAAAAGGAGAAGGGGTTGGTAATTGTGTCTTCAGAGCAAAAACAACAGAAACGAAAGGAATGTGGAACACAGTAAACTGCAAGGAGGTTTAGACTGCCCTTGATCAAAATAGACTGAATTTCTGTTCTGTTTCTGAAACATCTATCACAACAGCCTCAGTCATTACGAGTAAGTTATTTAGATGGCTTGAAAGAAGTTACAGTTCAAATAACACATCAAAAGGATACAAAGAACAGCAACACTTGATGATGCTTCACCGCACCAATCAGTCCAACCAAGGCAATTAGGAAGAGGAAAATTCCTACTGCAATTGCTACTCCAACGACTCTCAAACTAGAGATGAGGCCAAAGCCAATGCCCCATGCTGCAATTCCAATCAGCAGGAGGCTGACCAGCTGGAGGGAAGAAAAAACACAATAGTTAGTTTGCACTTTAAAAAACAGGGTACAGCTACACTCTGCATATTAAAAACACATTTTTAGAAAGACAAAATAGTTCTTTCTAGTTCAAAGAGAAGAACCACCCACAAACCAACCCTCCACTTCATCCTAGAGATGACTCTAGTTCCAGGGATTTGAAGGCCTGCTGCTAATGTGGGGTAGTTTCTTCAGTCCAAAACATGTTCAATGCAGTGTCCCTAGTCAGGCCTAGAAATAGAGGTGTGGATTGTAACCAAACTGACTGATAAGCTAAAATCATTGGTTTTAATAATGATAATAATAGAAAAATGAGAGTTCCAAATACATTCCAAAATACTGACAGCGTATTTAAAGAAAACAGCATATATAGTCTCACAGTTCTGAAAATGTAAATATTCAGAACACTCCCTGACTATGTATTTTCCCAAAACCTTCTAATCCTAAATACAATGTCTTAATATACTAAAGCTTCTCCATAATAGATGACGATATGATACAACAGTTAACAAGGTCACACAACAACACTAACTCTTTAGATTTGTATCTCAGGAAGATAGCTGTACAATGAAGTCAACACTATTTCAATACCCAAAACACTTGTGTATTTCCTTCCTTTTAAAGATGGTATTCAGGGAAGGCAAGCAGAAACTGTCCCAGTTAGTTTACTTATATAGACAGGAAGCTCCAGCCTTTCCTGTTCCCATACCAAAAACAGTTAAAAAAAAAAATCCATCATGAAAAGCCATAGTGAAACCTGCAACGAGACACAACAGGAGGGAAGCAGCACACAAAGCCCCATCCAGTCTCCTAGGCGAGAGATGCACAACACACGTTTAAAAAGTCAGACCTATGTGTAAAATACCGCCAAGGGCATATTCTGTTAAGCATCATTAATTCAATATGAAGTTGAACTTTTCCAAACCTTGCCAAAACACACTCAAAATTTGTGTTACTACACAAAAAAAGACTGTAAAACTGTTTAGCCTAGTCCCAGTATTTTGCTTTAATCAATAACAAATACAGACCAAGCACTTGCACCTGGTTACCAGTCTCCATCCAGACAACAGATACCTCAGAAATAGGGAGTAGGAGGATATTTCCAGGTCACCCTTCATTTCAGCACATTTGCCTTGAAACAGGGATTTTTTGTTGCCTTTAAGTAGTAAACATGTCTGCATATCTTTTTCAGCTAGAAGACTTTTTAGAAGCCTGGCCCATATAACTGTTTTTGGGTATGGAAATCTAGCATGACACTGAGAAAGCCACTAAAACAGGCAGCGAAGTGAGACAGAAAGAACAACCCTTGGCTCTGCCAGTGGCAGATTTTCTGAGTATAGCTGCACAAGGCTGCAAACGGCTCCATGATATTAAGTTAAAAATTAGCCTTGCTAATCAGACAGTTAAGTGCAAGGTCTACCTGTTCTGGTCTATGTCTATTCACTTCATTTCATTGTCTCAAACCACTGAGATTTATTTTACCATTTAAGTGTCAGAAGAGAACAAAACCAAAAAAGAAATCTCACAGCCTCCTTTCCAATCAGATACTGCAGGTTAATGTCTACATCACCTTCAGGGCACTGAACTCACACAGGTGCTACACGTAACCTCTTGAAAATGTTATCTCATATTTCTTACAAGAGATCTCAATGTTATATCATATTTCAACTTATTTCAAAGAAAGGCAGAACAAACCTTTCCCCTTAATCACTTCCATTAACTCTTCTTTCTCCAGGTTTAGCTATGACTGCAGGTATTTATTTTCACCTATTGGTTCCTGTACACCAAAAACATATGTTTATTCAAATCTTTGCACATTAACTTCACTCAGTTGCTTTAGGCTTATGAGGTGTGTTTTACTGTTCAGATCAGAACTGACCAGAAACAAACCAGGAAACCTAAACAAAATCTAAACATCTAAAAAACCCATTAGCTAAATGCAGCATGTGTGTGTGTGCGCGCACCATATACATAGCTGCTACTGTTAATCATCTCAGCTTCTGTTATTTTCAGAATAAGTGCAAGAAATTCACATATAAGACACTAAACATTATGGTACTCCTCTTTCCAAAAAGCTTTTCTGGCAGAAACAACCACATGCTGACTCTGGAAGAGATACTGTTTTCAAGTTGAAAAGCAGTTTGTTTAACTTTTAAGCCTGCTGTTGAGCAAATGTTCATGAATCAGGTACACAGCTAAAATAGGAATATCAGTTTATAACCAAGATACATTAAAAAAAATCTTTTAAAAGAACAGAACAGCATCGGTCTCTTTTCAGTAATTTCTAGCTATAGAACAGTGTTGGCATTTTCAGTTTGGTCCTCCACAATGCTGTTTATTCCTCTTTTAAACTGGAAAGCTGTCCAACATCTAATTCCCTAAAACGCCTGGCGCTTCAGCACAGTCTCAGGTCTGCTCTCGCTGTCAGGCTGGGCAGAAACACGTCATCCAAACAGCGAGACCCCCCGCTTGGATCAGGGTAGAGGCTTGAGTAGCTGGAGGCTACCCTAATTTTGTCTACTTGGAATTGTGACATGTATTATCTGTAGGAAAACCGGTCTGTTTTAGAGCTGGGATGACGACAGCAGCTCACGAGCCGTTCTGGAAACGGATGTAGGGCTGGGCTCCCACCCCCTCGGCGTGCAGAGGGAAAACTGGACTTGTTGTAGCTTCGCTTTCAGGTTTAGATCGGACCGTCGGAATCAATTCCTCTGGACCTGCTCTCGCCGAGGGAACAGGCTCTTGTGAGGGAAAGGCCTCACGTGAGCGGCCCAGGAGCCTCCTGCTGCCAGGCCCAGCTCGCAGAATTAACGGCTCAGTGCAGCCCTTCCAGAAACAGGCTCCTTCTCTCACCAACTAAACAGACACCAGGTTTTTTGTCCCACCTACACCCCCAGAAATAACTTTTTGTTTCCCCTGCCCTCTTATTGTAATTCTGTTAAGCAATAAAAATAGATATGTAGCTTTATAGTGCTGTAATGTGAGCTAACGTAAACTTGCACAAAAAAAAATGTTTTGGGAAGAGATTTTATAAGTAAAACAATGCAAGGCTCAGAGCTTTAATGACTGTTTAGTCAGTAGAAACTACTAGCAAACAATGTTTAATTAGGTTTTGAAACAAGATGATTTAAAGGCAGTGCATCAAAAAGTGGAGCTGCTGAGACCTTCCAAGTAAAACATGCTTGAAAGAAAGCCAATTAGAGACCCTAACCACCTTTAGATGAGTAATATGCATATCCTAAGGGCACAAATTTATTTTACTAACAAAAAGTCACGTATTTCTGAAAAAAATGGAAAGGTTTCTCTACAGAATTTCTACACGTTTTGTGTTACTACAACCACATTTCATGGCATGGAGCTCCTCAAAAGAGGAGAGCACTATTCTTGGAAGACTGAATTATAAAGGGAAATTCTGTTTTACCTATGGATTCGCTATGTGAAGCCACCCTCCACTACCAGCATTGCCTAGAGTTGTCCAATAACTCAGCAGAAAGAGAGGCCATCACAGTCCAGTTCTTAGCATTTGGACTGGCCCTGCTCCCTGTAGCACTCTCAGTAGTAACTTGAAAAAGCAAGATTAGAGAAATGGGCTGTAGATTGAAAACTAGCTGGACTACAGGAAGCAAAGGGTAGTAGTAACACCAATAATACTCATTAACTTCACCCGCAAGCTGGGCTATTAGAGAGAATGCATCCCCAGAACATTTGCGGATGACACTAAATATATAAAGGAATGGCTGCCTCTCCAAAAGGGTCATTAAATATTAGATAAAGTGCAAGATGAATTACAAGAACAGAAGCAAATTCTTCTAGGTACTGACTGACAATAAAACTACGGGTAACAGGTATGTGCAGCAGCTTGGTAGGCTCAGACGGGATATTAGAGAAAACATCTTCGAGGCAGTCCAGCACCAGAAGAGGTGGGCTCCATTTCTTGCCCACATGGCTTATGGCAGCTCTGTTCTCAGAAGTCTGGAGGACCTGAGCAGATGAAAGCACAACCCGGGACGACCTCGTGTTAGCTCAAATCCTGCCCCCCACAGGAGTGGGAACCAGGCAAACCCCAGAAACCCCCTCCAACCAACCCTTCTGCAACTGCAACCCCTCAAGCATCGCGCCAGACTTTCCTCCGCATGGCATCTTCGCTGCTCTCCACACACACAAATCAAAGATTTTAGCAGAAAGATCAAGGCCATATTTAACTCTGATCAACAACATACATACTTGGACTTCAGAGATATATTAGGAAAATAACAATTTATACACAAAGAATAGTTTGCCATAGAAGATCACAAATCTGCTTCTGTTCTCTAGTTAACTTACTGTCATGACTAAAGAATAACCATATCCTCCTTTCCTTACCCCTGCATAAAAGCGCACCAAAAAATCCTAACAACCTCTTCTTCATTTGTTATATTTTATTCTTCAGGTTGGTTGCTTGTCTCCCATCCTGCTGTATTGGATTAATGGACTGATTCTCATAATTACTGCATGTGTGTTTCTCCACAAACTTCTACCATTTGTTACAAAGAAGACCAAAGATAATGATTTCCCTAGACAACACTATTGGGACAATTCAAACTTCAAAACCCGTTGTCCTCCCTTCCTCAATGGCATGGCACAAGGCTTATTTTGACTCGCTGGCAATTCTTCAGTATTCCCCTAGGTTACTTCCCAGGTAGAAACGCAAGCACAAAGTTCATATTCTCAACAGTTTATTGCAGTCTCAGACCAAAAAGGAGTTAGTAAAAACTCCATTTCAGCACATAAGTTTCAAGAAGTATGTTCTCACCATTCCTGGGTACAGAGATTAAATAGCATTTAAAATGGTATCAGCAAATGGAAATATTTACAGAACAGCTGTCAGGCTGGATATGGAACAGGAACTAGACGCAGGCAGATCACACACACATGATGAAATACATCCTCCCTAGCCCCTCCTTCCATATATAAATTCATAGTTCATTTCTTTTAAGAGGAATTCAAAATTTAAACTTCAAGGAGTATGTACTTGATGGTTAGAAACTTCTGCTGCCCTCTTGCTCAACTTGGCGAGTTATTTCTTGGCTGACACAGAGAATCCAGAAGACAGTTCTGGAAACGTCACAGCGATACATCAGCCAGTTCCCAGCCAGGCGCCTTCAGCCAAGCAAAGCCACCTACATTCATTTCTGTCGCTGTTACAAGCTAGACAACCTGTACACAACTTTGATCCTTTACAGCGCCCCTTCAGCTTTACTGAAAATACAGCAACTATAATGAAAGCTCTGGACACCTCCGAAGGATTTGTAACAGAAGACAAACTTTCACCCTGAGGTGACGTATTTAGGTGAGGAGCGATCAGTGCTGACCAGTCCTGAACACATGATGTGGAACAAAGACCTACGGCAGCACTGCCACTTGCTATCGCAAAGGCCAGTCCTCCTCACGACTCCATGCTCTAGTTCAGAGTTCATATTACTAGCCAATAATTAGGAGTAAATTGGCTCTGATGAAGTAACAAGCTTGAAAGCTAAAATGGCAGGGAGATTTATACTTCCCGGTCTTTGAAAATGCAAATTTTCTGCTGTGCAACAGGACTGCTCTGGTCCATTGGTGGGTGGGGGTTGAGTTTTTCTTCTTAGTTCGTTAAGAAGTTGAATTTTCAAGACCACCAATGATCTCTCAACCCCTCCTTCACACACTTCTTCCTCAACATGAAAGCACCAGTAACTAACAAGGTTCCTAAACACCAATCCAAGGGCTTCTCTAAACTGCATTGACTTTGAAGTGTCTGCAGGCACTGCTACGATGTCTGAAGCTAATCAAAACACATGAGGCTCCAAAAAATTCTCTTTTTGTGCTCAATCATTTCCCAGTTCTCTCACTAAACATCGTCTGTGTACCTAGCTCTAAATGTGACTGCACAAGCGTATATATATTTAAAAAAAAAAAAAAAAAAAAACTTACACTGACCTACACAACCACCACTCGTCTAGACATGCTGGTGTCTTAAGCCTCACTACTAGAAATTGTTAGAATTTTATCTACAGACTGACATGCAGTATAATAGTGTGCAGCTCCAAGCACTGACAAAAAGTCTTGAAATATACTTATATTTTTCTTGCAGTCATTGTTCTGTATTTTTAAGTGTGACCATAGAAACCTGGCAAAGAAAAGTGAGGCTGGATTGACATGACCAACAATAAGTTTTCCTGTCACATACTCGGGAGCTTCCTTACCACCGTTTTCTTTACACAGAGACCAGACACCAGCAGAGACACATTGCCACCTTCAAAATGATCTTGGGAAGGCAGAAATGGCTCTGGAACAACCCACCACATCTGATAACCGTCCAGGTTGGAAGAGGAGTTCAGACTTCATATGAGCTCTCTTAAAAACTGCCTGAGGACCATCACACACAGCATCACCCAACTCGGAGAGACTGATCTACCAGTTTGAAAGAAATTGCCAGTTTTCTTCACGTTATAGCAGAACCTGGGATTCCCTGAGCTGTACCTGCCAGTACCAGGCTCCCTGTAACCAATGCAGCAGTCAGGAATTATTGGAAAACATGGACTAAAGCCACGTTCCCTTTCACTCAGGAAAACCCAGACGTTTACACCACCTCTCAGACAAGGCTTGCCTTATGCAGGCTGGCAGAAGGAAGATGGAGCTGGCACATTGACACGGAAGATGGAGCGTGCCCGTGGCAGAGAGGTGGGCATGGTGCAAGCAACACAAGCATTATGAAAAACACACACGGTGGCAAACATCCGCAGTCCTAATCTGAGAAGTTCTTTCCTAATTTTTGCACATTTACATCATGCAGGGAAAGAGGTCTTCATAACATGGACATGCTAACCCCACTACCAGCAATTACAAGAACATGGACGGCAGTGCTTTAAATGGTGATGCAAAAAACAGGGCACTATAGTCTAGAAACAAGTTCAGAGAGCAAAGTAGTATAACAAGTCAATTATTTTAATACAGACTTTTTAGTGCTTAAAGATATGCAGATACTTACCTGGTGAAGTCTGTGCTATTAAATACACACATTTAATGGAAATATTGATATGAAGATACCACAAAATTTCCCTTAAATTATAATGACGTGGGACTAGGTGTGGGACTCATCAAAACAAAGTCAAGACATTTTTACACACCTGTTTAAAGGGCTGTTCAAATTATATAAACAGCCTCTACCATAAAAATGAACTGACTTCCCATTGTTGTTTTCTTCTTCTTCTACTTCTTTCTTGGCAGCCCAGTTGCCCTTTCAGTTTTTTAGCACTAGGCTAGGACTTAGGAATTTCCCTTTCCTTTCCGAGAATCTGATCAGAGTAAGCTACTAGGTGCTCACACTAACCAATTAATTAGGACTTCCTTGAGAGGAACCCTGTCCACCTCAGAAAATCGTCACCTGATTCATGTGAGTAAATATTGGCGGAGCAGGCTCTTAGGGTTCTCATGCCTGCAAGATTAGAAAACTTAAGCTAGACTCACATCCTTGGATATACATAGATTTTGTGAATGCAGTTTTATTCAGTCTGTCCAGTTTTGACATTCAAGGGGGGAAAAAGCAAATATGAAGACAAAACTGTGCCTACATGGGCATTTTTAATACTAGATTTGGGTATGCAAACAGGCAGGTCTTCAACATAAGGCGTTAATCCAGCAATGCGCTTCCTTTCACAGACCCTAAGTCAATGAATAGTCTCGACTGTTTTTCTCCACTGATCCTATAGCCATGAGAAGCAAGAGTGTGCAGGTGCCAGAATCATTCATGTAAAATAGATCTAAATATGAAATTGAGGCCTAAGAACATTAAGTTAGCCCAGAAAATAACCAGAATTCATCAGCAAAGTACCATCTGAAAAGAAAGCTATTGCGTTTGAGGATTTTCTTGCTTTAAACCAGCAACTAGTTAATTCTGCCAGGACATACACTATTGCTTGGTGTAATACTGTGCAAACTAAAAGAAAACAGCATAAAAACCAAGCTCAAATACTCTACTTTGCTATTTTGAAAATTATTCTGAAAGTGTTTTAAAGAAAAGCAGAACACAAATAATATACAATTCTCTGGGCCATTTCCTTCCAAGCACATGATACAAACAGACACTTCAAAGCTAGCTAAAAAAATGTTCAAGAAGAGTTGTCCAGTTGACCTTATTGACCTTCCTTCTCCCACCAGTTATTGCTGTACAGCAATGGTGCTGTACAGCAATGTGGTGTTCCAACCCAAATTTTATGGCGTCAACTTTTAACAACCATGGCACAGAGATTCCCACAAATTTGACAAGATCAGTTCATCCAGATTAACCAAACACCCTACACGCTATTTCTTCCATTTGGAAATTAAAAGCACTACTCTCATAACTTTAAATAAGCAACATAAGCAACAACAGTTAGATATTCCAGTTACTGTAATATGAAGCAGCTATACTTTTGCTGAAGAGTAAGAGTATATTCTGCACAAATGTGATAAAAGAATAGCAAGTGCTACCTACAAAGTAAATTTTACTCACACAGGCATCAGAGCAGGATTTAGGCCATAGGTTGTGGAACAGATGTTACAAGTCTTAAGTTCGACCCACCCTTGCTGAGGCCAAATATGCTCACAAGCCCTGCCAGTCCGTTCAGGTTTGGTTAATATTTGACTGCAGAAGTGGTGGTATCTTCAGAAGACGACACCTGTTTTCCAAGTGAGTTTTTGTGCACATCATGCTACACAGACCCAAATCCCTTTCTCCCTTTTTGCATAGGAGAAATAAAAGAGGAGGAAGGGGAGGAAGTCTTGTATTACATCAAGGTTACTTAAAGAGAAATCTGACTCGAGGCAATCCAATCTATCCTCATTGAAAGGGACTACACTGAGCATATCACCAACTACAGATACCAAACTTGGCGATGTCTGCTCCGTTCTACTCTTTCTTCCTCCTTTTCCAACTCCTTTCCAGGGCAGGGGTGGGAACAAGGGTCACTTGACATCCGAAGCAGTACAATAGCACACAGCTTCAGCACAGGCACATCCCCTCATGCTCCATCCTGACGATTACCACCAGGTCTTCACCAGCCGCCAGCTGTTAGAGGCGCTTGCTCTGAGGAGCAGCAGCAGCCCTGCCCGCTCCCCTGCCCTCCTTCCATAGCAAGATGAGGCAATGTTTTCACAAGGGCCCCGAGACGGCCGCCCGCAGGCGTCACTTCAGCTTCAGCCAGCTCCAAGTCACCCTCACACGCGGTCACCCAAGCGATGTTTGTTGACATTAACCGTTGGAGGACATGTTACTTCTCCAGAGGTGCTGCGAGAGGAAGCCATTATACGTAGCTGTGTTGCTTTCTTTACGTTTTAAAATAATAGAAAAGAGAGAGAACTGCACTTTTGTTGTTGTTTGTTTGTTCTCTAATTAAAACGAGTCTGTATCTTTATCAGAAGGAGGGAATAAGGGCAGATAACTGCCTGAAAACCTAAGCTCTCCAGCAAGTCATTTCTTAGTGCAACACGTTTCTCCCTTTCCCCTGACGCCAGGGCACCACAACCTCTCGAGGCCGGCCCAGGAGGGCAGGCGAAGCCCCCTCACAGAATCATCCCACACACGGATGCCCCACACCAGACATTTCGCCTCACCCCTCGCCAGGGCTGCGGGGCTCCCGGGCGGCCCCAGGGGTGTTCCGGCACCTCCAGACGCGCCCGTGCGGCCCTTGGGGCAGAACCCGGCTCCACACCGGGCCCGGCC